ATGATCTTTGTGGAAAACATCATTCCGAAAAGCCCAGAAGAATCAATTCAACAGTGGGATTTGATCGGATTGCGGTAGGATCCCATCAGATTCCATCAAAATCCGCAAGAAATATGGTCGGAAACTAGAACACAGCACAAAATTAGGATTTCTAGTGTTGTAATTCGATTGAATCAAGTCGCTGAAATTTGATAGGGTTCTAGTGTCGTTGAATGATCGTATTTAATAGTCGAAATACGGCGAATATTCTCACATTTATGACAGTAAGGTTTGATAGGATTTCCAGCGTTCGGATTCCTACGAAGTTTCTATAGAATTGTATCGTATTTCGTCAAGTTCTTGAAGGATCCGACCAGATTACAACACTAAATATGAAGATAATTCCCACACATCGATTCTTATAGGATCTGATGAGGTCAGATAGGATCTCAATGAACCTGATAATATCGGAGTATGAAATAGTTCGATGTCGGATAGGATATTTGAGTACTAGCTACAATTATAAAAAAGAGATTACACAACAGACTAACTTACCGATGTTGAACAGACCTACAGTTGCGCATTGCCATAAGTTACAGCTTGATTTTATTACAAGAACACTGCATATGGGCTATCTGATTCGTAACGTTTACCATCTGCACGAATCTCAATGCATCGAAACAACAGTGTAATCGAATAGAATTCAATTGTAGAGCACAAAAGCTTTTGAAATATAATTTCTTTTCGCATGAATATAGTCTGACTGGGAAAAGACTTCACAATTTTTCAAACTAGATTAGAGACTTGACTTCTCCGACCTTAGAACCTGCGTTCAAGCTATATAAATTCATCAATTTATAAACACAAGCTATCTATCATAGAAAGAACAAACTTCTGGATTAAAGTAACGAATAACTCTTTTTAATTCCGCGAATACCTAAATCTATCATCAATCCTTGCAGTGAGCCACACAATCATAAAAAACAGTATTCTATATCATTTCTTAACGCGAAGAAAAATTTCATATTTAGTCTTCAAGAAAAAGCATTCCTAGAACACTGAATAGTCTTGCCAAATAGCTTCATCACAGAAAAGTTTATTGTGCTATGTTAATTAATGAATTATAAACAAAAAACTACTAACAAATATTTATATGAACAGCCTTCACAATGAAGGAGATCATAAAGAGACAGTTTTATATCTATAGTTTTTCAAAACTACACGCAACTCTTACTAGTGAAAAAAATTTGAATCTACCAAATAGCAAGAAAAGTATTCGAAGCATTGCTGTCCGAAAGTCTATCTGGAGGAATTCCACTTTGCTAGAAACTTCATACTCAGAAAAAGAAAGACAAGCATTATTTCATAGCAGCCTCTCAAATTACTAATGAAGGAAGAACAAGAACAGAAACTTCATTGTACGGATATCAAAAATAATTATTTTGCTCTATACTTCATACAAAAAAATTTCTTAATAAAGTTCTGTTTCCATAAAAACGCAAAAACTGAGCCGGGCTATCATTGACATTTGTACTAAACAAGTTGCTCTACACTTTAAAAAAGAAAACTGGAGAGAAAGATCATCACAAACAAAGTTTATCTCCAGCTTAACAAAAAAAGCTGAACACAAGCGTTACTAGACAACGACTTCTTCTCTACTCGAAGCAATCGTATTTTTAAAAACGCATGTGATTGTCCTATTCCCTTTTAGTTCATAATATGCAGAAATACTTCTTGCTCTCAAAATGCTTTAGATATTGCTTCTTGCGCTCTCATTTTCATTAGAATAAAAGCTTGTTTTTTGAGCCGTTATGGTATTCATCTTTCGCTCAATTTAGTTTTACGTACTGAAGGAGAACTTGTTTTCCTCATAACACTTTTCATTGTTCTCCTAACTTCGTCTATGAAGTAAAAAAAACGATGCTATGTAGTCATCTTTCATCTAATCCTGTCTATCAATTTCCCATTATCAACTTGCGTAGAACTTTTTATTGTTGTGAACTCCTTAGTTATTCTGTTTCCATTGGATAATTAACGGCAAAAAAGAATTTTTATACTCATGATTCTTTTGATCCTTTTGTCCACTTTGACTTTTTGAATTAAAGAAAAAACTTCGTTTAGACGGTTATTTTGCACGTTCTCCTCATACACCGTTTCTCAATAAGAGAAAAACCTGTTCATTGATTTTTTACATCACTCTTACTTTCAAAACTAAAGAAAAGTTGTTTCATGCATGATAATTTTGACGTTTCCACTCACTGAGCTTTTCTTAACGCCAGAAAAAATCGTTTTAGCCATAATTCTTCTTATAATTCTGCTATCTCTCTATTTATTTAACTAGATATAAAGTTGGTCTAGCCGAGCCTCTTTTGATCTTTTTGGTCACTGCGATTTTTAGAACTCTAAAAAAGTTATTTAGAACACAATGGTTTTGATCTTTCTGCTCACTGGGCGTTTCTGAAATGGAGAAGAACTTGTTTTAGCTGCAATTTATCTAATTTCTTCACGCATTTTCTCTTTGTTTAACTAGAGATATAGTTGTTTTAGCCAAGATTCCTCTGATCTTTGTGATCACTCTGAATTTGAGAAGTCGAGAAAAGTTATTCAGGGCACGATGATTTTGATTTATCTTCTCATTTATCGTTTTTCAACTTACGAAAAGCTACTTCAATCATGCCTGTTCTGATCTATGGACTCATATTCCGTTTGCTCAGCTACACAAAAGCTTGTTTAATTATTTTTTCTTTGGATTCTTTTGCTCAATTGTCGTGCTTTAACTCGACAAAAATTGTTTTAGACAAGATTCCTTTTTGTCATTTCGCTGGCTCATCGTTTCTAAACTATAGAGACTGGTTGAAGTCACAATTTTTTTTATTCTTCTTCTCATTCGTGGTATCTGATCTTTAGAAAAACTAGTTTTAGGCATGCTTCCTATTATTGTTCCTCTCACTAGTCGTTGTTTCACTGGAGGTAAAATTGCTGTAGCAACGATGATTTCGATCCGTTGGCTAAATACTCGCTTCAACACAACAGAAAACTTATTTTACTTATGAGGATGTTGGTCCTTCTGATCATTCGTTGAGCCTTAATTGTATACTCCCTTTTGCGAGCATAAAACCAAAATTTAAAAACTAATAAACTCCATTTCAATCTCTTTTTAGTTTTAAATAAAAAACCATCCAAAGTTTCGGATTTTTATTTTTTATATTTTTAAAAGTTTATTCATACTAAAGTTTACAAAATGTATAGAATTCACTGGATATAATTGTTATTTTGAATATCACAAGTTGTTTTTTGAGCTTGAACACACCATCTAATTGTGATTAGAACATAGTATCAAACATCGAATGGACACAAATCAATCTAGATGCAAAAGCATTTATCTAGAAAAAATCAAAAAAATAGAAAATGATATTCAAATAAAGACAACTCTGAAACTATGGGTGTTGCTAAGCATCTTCTCTTCACGTACACACACACCATCTGCACTATATCCACAATAAATATTGAATTACCACTGTCAATTTCAATAAAATATATGTAAAACCTCTCTTCGATCTCAATCACATCCTTCTTTGCTCAACACAAGTCTATGATTTTTACTTTATCAATAACTAAATATCATTCCACTAGTCAATATCAATCCCAAAATATTTCGTTTCCGTTCACAAAACTTATTTTAGGTCTGGTGGATAATAATATTATATTTTAAGACTGAGATTATTTTCGAAAGCATTTATCATATGCACATAACTCTATCTCATACAATACCTGATAATTACTATTAAAAAATTTCTTTCTTTTTACCACGTATAGCTTTCTATATATGATCTAAATTCTACCTAGATCAAAATGTTTTTCTGATCACCAAGTCACATCCTCTATGCATCGCTGGAAATGCTGTGAAACAAAAAAAAGTCTTTATTCAACAAAAACTTACATCTTCTGCTAATTGTAGTAGCTCTACTTATGTCAAGAACTGATGTTCTCTACATATTTTAATAACTTTTCTGACAATAAAAACAATTTTCATTAAAATTTTTTTAAACGATTTGTTCTATATATGGTCTCTCATTAATCAAATGTGATTCAACAGCAAACTCTCCTATGGCTGTTTTGAATAATAAAGATGGACTGATTTCAGTGAGCTGGTCGACAGTATCGCGAACATATGGTCATAAGTTGAAAACGAATGTATATAGGAAGGTGCTATCTGAATAAAGAATTTCATCTAACTTGTGTATATCAGTAACGAAGATTGAAAGAAGAACAAATGGAACTCATGATGCTTGTTTTGAATCGTTGATTTTCTCTTTCAGGAATTTTAAAAAGATGTTCGAATAAAAGAAATTAATTCATAAACTGTTTATTTGAACCCATTCAATAGTAGTAATAAGAACATCTCGAAATGAGTGAAAAAGATAGTCTTTATCTGTTGATCTACGAAAAAAGAAAACTATTTTGATATAATTAAGATCTTCATTGAAAACCATTTGTCATACGTATCGATGAGAGAATTATGATGGTTATATACGGAAGTTCTCTAACAAACCTTTTGTAATGGATAAAATTTCTCTGTAGAATTTGTTGCATGTTATTGACTAAGCTTAAAGATAATTAAATTTTAAAATTGTATGGACATTGAAAAAATCGAAAGCTAAAACGATAATGATCTAAAAGAGTTGTCAAGAAAATAGCAATGGAAATTTTTGACATTTTTTTATTTAATACTGATTATTACGCGCATTTTTATTTGTAACCATAGAGATACATTCTGTTGTGTTATTAATTTGTTATTATAAACATTAGATAATAGTCTATTCGACTTCACCTTGTAGTGTCGCTCGCTCACGCAAACATATAATTTTTCAATGAAATCATGTGTGAGTTATATTGACAAGGTTCTTTTTCCTTTTTTTTCGTTCTTCCAGCTTCATGGTGAAATATTTACGACGGTGTTTTTTTTTCATTTCTTCTTATCTTTACATCAGTCGTGCTATTTTTTTTTATTTTGACAAAAAATGCCGAAACTAGATCTATGTATCACACTTGATGAAGTTTGGGAAAAATTATTACATGGTATTGAACATCTCCTCCAATTTCAAACCATTCGACATTCTAAATGGATGTTACTCTATACGTATGTTGATATTAATCATTATACTCTGTTAGATTGTAACATTTTTATCTAGTTATATTTTTGATTATTGCACACATGACGTTAGCCATAATGCTGAGTTATATGAAAGATTGAAAGATTATTTAAGAAATTATCTCAACAATCTTTGTCAAGTAAATTTTTTGTTTATTTATTTTGAGTTATAAAAAAAAAATTTTTCAGTCTAACGCTAATTTACTAGATCAAGAAATTCTTGAATTTTATATGAATCAATGGAAAAAATATTGTATTTCATGTAAAATTCTGCATGGTATTTTTTCCTATATTAATCGATATTATATACGACGTGAATTGGATTTTGGTAATTCAGAGATCCCTGAAATTTACCCAGTAAAATATATTTGTTCAATAAGTGTGCCAATACTTCCACTATATCATTTAGATGGCCATAAAAGTCTGGCAACAAATTGTTTCTCGACTGTTTTATACTAAAATCACACAATATTGTCTGAATCTAATTAAAGCCGAACGTAATCATCAGAAAATCGATACTGAAATTATTAGTAATGTTATTCGAACATATGGTGAGGAATGTACCAACAAGATAAGTACAAATTTTTCTTGATTTTTAATTTTAGTCATCTCCTATATCAATCGACATGCGCCTACATCGGACAATAGTAGTCAGATATTAGATGTTTATCGAGAATATTTTGAAAATCAATTTTTTCAAGATACCCAAGAATTTTATCGATTAGAAGCAACAACATATCTTCAACATCACTCAATTATGGATTATCTTTTAAAGGTTTATTCGAATTTCTTTCTTTAACAAAACAAAAATAACTTAAAATCATGAAATCAATTTTTTGACTAGATTCCTGAATATTTCGATGAAGAAGTTCATCGAGTGACAGCTTACTTACATCCTTCTTCTATTAAAAATCTAGAGAAAAAACTTGACGAAGTTCTTATTCATGATCAATTGACAGCTATTTATGAGGAAGCAAAAAAACTGATACATGATGAAAGAATTCAAGGTACTATGATTGTTTTATTTTTTGAAAGAAAGATAATAAATTCAAGACTTTTGTTAGAGCTCAATCTCTTATATCAAACGGTCAATCGAATTGAAAATGGCAAAAATGAGTTGATAAATATGATGGAAAATCATATTTATCAAATTGGTATTGAAACCATCGGATGTATTAATCCTATATCCACTCATGTAAGTTTTTTTTCCTTACAATATCTCGATTTTAGTTCCTAAAATCGGCTAGGATCTTAGAATTTATATTCAAACAATATATGACTTCCATCAAAAGTACTATACATTTATTGAAAAAGCTTTCGATAGTAATCAAGCCTTTTTCGATGTTTTCAATCGAGTAAATTATTTTTATTTTTGAAAACTTTTCTACTATGAGAATAATTAGGCTTGTCGAAAGTTCATTAATAATAATGCAGTCATTCAAACAATTGGAACTACGATTAACATGGCTCAACATTTAGCTCGAAATTGTGATCAACTTCTTCGAAAAAAGTAAAGAAAACTTCTTATGAAAATAATTATATATTATTCATAAATTTAAAAGAAAGGAAGAGATTGATCTTGAAATAATCTTTAATCAAATAAAAGTAAATGTTTATCATTTATTCCATATATATATATATATATATAATTATTTTGCATAGATTTTATTGTATTATATGCAAGACAAAGATGTCTTTGTACAATTTTACTCCAAGCTATTTGCAAAACGACTTATTAATCAAATAAGTATCTCAAATGATTATGAACAATTGATGATTTCCAATATTGAAGTAAATTCTGATGTCGACTGTTGATTTTTTATTTTATAACATTTATTTTATCTTTTCAGGTTGCATGTGGTTTTGAATTTGCATATAAAATGAAGCAAATGTATCAAGATATTGAAACAAGTAAAACTATACTTGATCAATATCATCGGTATTGTGAAACTGAACAATTTATTAGCAAAAGTTCGGCAATAAATCATTGTATTTATTAATTATTGTCTTTATTTTAGTTAATTTTAGCGTAATGATACTTAAGGCTAATGTATGGTTATTCTCAACACCATTGAATATTATTCTTCCTAATAAACTTCAATGTATTGTCAATAATTTTAATAAATTTTATAAACACATACATAATGGACGAAAGCTTACATGGATTTATCAACATTCCAAAGGTGAATTACAAACATTGTTTACAGATCAAGTGTATACATTACAGGTATAAATTACACATTATCATTTTCTGTTTTTTCTTTGNTTTTGTAAGCGTTTAAAAAAGAAATGGAATCTACTTACCTAGTTTTCACTAAATATGACAATATAAATTTATCAACGTTTTATCTTCATACTTATGCAAAGAAGTTCTTTTTGAACTATAACATTAGATCATTGGGACAACATTCACAAACTAGCGATAGTCTTCGAAAATCATCATCAGAAACGTTCTTTCCATAATCGAGTGTAGGAATTTTAAAAAAACAGTTTTTCTGCAACATGTGTATGACAATGCTTGCTTCTAACGTCAATGAGATCATTGATGATATTTGTTGGAAGTATCATTATGACCTTCGTATAAAGAAGAACAAAATTTCTATCGATGTTTGTTTAGTAAAGATCTTCATTAAAAACAAAAAGTTTGTTTATGAAATGATGAATAAATACAATGTTTCATTTTGTCGAAGTATATCTAAAACCGTATCTTCAATCGATTTAGATATCTATATTGAATTGCTGAATTCTTGATGCTTTGATCAATCTTAAATAATAAAAAATAATTATACAATCACAAGAGTATCAATACCGACTTACTAATGTTGAAAAGATAGTTTTACATCAACGAGAGAAAAAGATATACATATAATCATTCGAGCGTATCAATGTGTCTTCGCGACATCTAGTCTTTCATTTGTTGAGAGTAGAGGCTATTGCCAAGTGATGTTGACTTTTATTAAAATTTATTTCTTGCACGTGGTTCAATTAATAAAAAAAAAAACAAAAATTAACTATATATTATTAAACATGGTTTTTAGTATGTAAAAATTTGATTCGTATCAATCATTGCTGTAGTTTAAATTTTTTTAGTTACGGAAAGTTTAATTCGTAAACGAGCTGAACATAATGAAGGACAATTGTCAACACTTGAGGAGGTGTCACTTCATCAACAAGATATTGAAAAGTGAGATTTAGTTTTTAATTTTTATTAATGATAAAAATTTTGCTTATTTATAGAATTGAACATTTGGATAAATGGTGTCGAGAATTACGAATACTTTATTTACAAAGCAATCTTATATCCAAAATCGGTAAGACTTTTTTTTAATTTAATTTTTGTTATATATTCATTTTTTTTTTCTGCAAAGAAAATGTTGGTCGACTAAAAAAGTTAGAATATCTCAATTTAGCATTGAATAATATTGAATATATTGAAAATCTTTCTGGTAAACAACAAAAAAAAAAAAGATTTCTATTAAGATTTCTTTTGATCTATTGAACAATTTTTAGGATGTGAATCATTAAATAAACTTGATTTAACATTAAATTTTATTGGTATATTATCAACTGTTGAAAATCTTCGTGATAATATTCATCTTGCAGATTTGTAAGTTATTTGATATTTTCTCAAAAAATTATTTGCGATCAAGTTTAGATATTTAACCGGTAATCCATGTGTTGATCATGAAGGTTATCGTGATTATGTTATTGCTACATTGCCACAATTACAAGTTAGTTTATCCTAAAATTAAAGTTCTGTGTCATTGATATTTTGATTTGTAGAAATTAGATGGTAATGAAATTACAAAAACTGAACGAATTTTAGCATTGCAAGTAAGCTAATATTGAGGTTTTAATTGTAGATACAATCAAAATTTCAAGAATTACTGACCTTTTGTGTTATAAAACGAGAAAAAATACACAGTCATTCCTTTATAAATTGCTTGTTAAGTGTTTACGGTTAGATCCAAATACTCAGAGAAGTAACATATCATTAATATTGGGGAATAATAATCTATCGAAAAGTAGATAAATAACTTTTGTATATCATTACTAGGAAAGCAAAATTATTTTTCTCTCCTACGTTTTTCTTATGTTCTGCACTTCTCCAAAGAAATTTTCTGTTGTGGATAACTAATATCTTGAATAGTTACGTAGAACAGATTGCCTATGTAAAAGCGAAGTTCTATTTACAGTTTTTGAAAGAAAACCAGTTATTTTCTCTCAAAGAGACACTAAATCAGGTTATATTTTGAAAAATAATACATTAAAAAGACAGAGAATAAGACGAAGATCAAAGCTATGCTTTGGTGATTAACATATCTACAATTCATTTAATAGACACTGTAGAATATGATGTGCAAAGTTCAGTTCAATATGTGGACAGCAGTTCTTTTACTGAAAATGTTTCGAACAAATAGAATATTAGATATCCGATGAATATCTTATCTTAAATTTTCAATAGTTTCCATAAAACATTGATATGATGTACTTTTGTAGGATAACATGAACGACGCACAATCACATTGTCACGTGAAACAATAAAATTTTCAACCGGTACATTTTGTTCCCCTCGTTCAGTAGTGGAGAGTGTGAATGAGAAGCAGACGAACACTTATACCCAAATTCATATCAAAATATATATGAACAAAAGTGATGATGAGCAATAGACAAAACGTCATACGACTGTTAGAAAGAACATTACTTTGAAAACTATTGATGAAGACATTTTTTGTGTGTAGTAAAAATGTATGTTTCCATTGAATAGAAATCTCTTTATGGATTTACTGATACAAGAAATAGCGACGAAAGAAAAAGTATTCACTATTGATAACGAGAGTATGAAAAGTTCCAGTTGAGAATATATTTTTCTGGCAAAAAAAAATGATAAATGAATGAATTCTTCGTAACTTTAGAAGACTTTCTTCCTTCACTCTTTCTTTTCCTGCGCAGAAATAAACAAAAAATCATGACAATGCTATTTCTTAGTAGAATTCAGCAGTTTCAATTACTAAAAATGAGAAAAGATGCCATTAAACGAAACAGTGTTAATATATATGAAAACCTTTAATTTCAGGAATGAAAAAATGAAAACTTCTCAAGATAGATCTAAGAATATCTCTATCTATCTGATGGTTTAACGATTTCTGTTTCAGTTTTTTTCGAACAACCGAATTCTATTTCTCAGTATTGTCACTTAATATATGTATTTAAATATCGACGTACAGCAGAGGTAGTAAAATCACAACAAATAAAAGTATTTTACTTGTACTTTAAAAAATGTATTTGGGCTTAAGTACAAAAAACTACTTTTGTATCTGTATTTAAATATGAAAAAAAGTACTTGGTATTTTTACTTGATGTATCAATATAATAAACATCATGTTTAAAGTTGACTACCTCTAATATATTGTTCAAGACCATAGTGACATCATATGATCAAACAGTAAACGAAAATAAGAATATTTTAATGGAATTTCTTTTTTCTCTCATATGCTGATAAATTCACTGCAGGACACTTATCTGTTTTCATGGCCGGAGTTTCTTCAAAATTATGATGAATATCTGTAAATGATAACGTTCGTTTGGCTTATTATCATAGATAAATCTAGTTCTCGATGACAGCAAGAAGAGTTTAAATGTATTCAGACCCATGCGCTAGAAGCTAAGACAGATTATTGCTTCACTATATTTTCAAATTGTCGATAGAATTTTTTAAATATTGATTGGAAGAATTTCAATATAGAATGTTGATGAAAAGTTTCTTGAATATATATTAGATTTTCTTAAAAGTTTAGATTAAAATTGTTAATTTTTTCTAACAATATTAAACTTAAAATAAATACAATTTTTCAAATCTATTTTGATATGTGACTAAAAATTTAAAATATTTACTATATTGAAGATGAAAACTTGCTTTAACAGAAACTTATGAAGTCATTTGAAAGTTATCCAACTATATCGAATGGCTGATTATTTCTAAATTGAACATATTTCATTTATTATGCAATACGTCGAAAATATAAAAAATGCTTTATATAAAAGAATCTTAGTGTTTCAAAAAGAAGCAGAAATCTGAAATTCATTTTAATTTTTATTAAATTCATCTATGTGTTTAATAAATGTTTAAACTATTTAATCGAATAAACTTTTATATTTCAAAAGTCTTTCGTTGATAATAACAGTGAAGCATTAAGAAAGATAATTCAAATATGCAAAAAGATATTGTTTTGTAGTGCAGGTAAAAGTACTAAGTACAGATTTTTGCACTTCAGTATAAGTACAAAGGTATTTGCCTTGACATGCACCTGACTGAATACTTGTACTTTTACTTGAAAATGTACGAAAATTGCAAATACAAATATTTCCGTTCGAACTTTTATTCATAATGAAAAAAAATGATCGTCTCAGTACTATTGACTCATGCAAAAAGTCTACTTTCACATTTCTTTAATTAATTATTATTGATATATTTTAGAAATATGATAAGATTTCCAAGCGAATTGAAGAATTAGACCAACAATATGCAGATAAACGCGTAACAATCATGAAGAGTGTACTTTGTTTTTTTGCTTTACTTAATTTTGTTTTTTTAAGAAAAATCAAGTGAATGAATATGAACGAACTAAAAACGAACGTGATGCTGATGAAAAGTATTGAAATATCTTCCTAGAAGAGAAAAAAAAATACCGACTTTTGATTGATTTATTTTTATAGTTATTGGGAAAAACGATCAGAATATACACCCGAATCACGTATTGAAACACATGAAAGTATGAAAAAGAAACGTGAACGTGAATCAAAAGAGTTTGTATTTAACAACCAAACCAAACGATACAATTATTTTATTGATTTATTCATTTTTTTTAAAGAACAAAAGCCGAACCGAAACCTATCCGTCAATATTTTGGTGATGATGGTCGTCCATTCAATTGTAATGAACCTAAGTATATTATTTTTAGTTTTTATCTATGATCAAAAAATATCACATTATTTATTCTTTAGAGTTGATTTTAAAATGTATGAAAGTGATGATGATCGATATATTATTCTTGATATCTCTGTTTTTCGTCATATGGATACATCACTTATTGATGTTGATGTTCAACCTACTTATGTTCGAGTTTCTATTAAAGAAAAAGTATGATTTTTATAGATTACATTCATGTATTGTTCTTGTTGATTTATAGATTCTACAATTGGTCTTATCTGAAGAAGTGAATACAACACGTTCAGCAGCTGAACGATCTAAAACAACGGGACATTTAGTTATTAAAATGCCCAAAATAAAACAATCCAATGCTTCAATTGAAACAAAACCTCAAATTGAGAATAAAATTCAAAATAAAAAACCGTATGCAGTAATATACGTTTCACTATTTAATTTTGTTCTTTTGTTTTTAAACTTTAGTTCTACATCATCATCTTCTACAAAATCATCGACCTATCTTGAACTTGATAAAGATCCATCATCAACCGTTGATTACACTCAAATTGTAAATCAAAATAAAAAAAAATCTCAATTAAAACCTAAAACAAATCCACCAAAAGAACGAGAAAATTCATCAGATTTTATTGATGACTCTGATGTACCTCCTTTAATTTAATTCATTTTTTTTATCGTAAATGTTATATGTTAATAAAAATAAAAACGAATTTCTTGTTAGCAATATTTTCATAGCTACTTTCCATACTCTTGACAGAGATTTTGGAGAGCAGCTCATCAGAAAAATTTGAAATTTTCAGGGCGGATAGATCTTGAAGAATAGAGCAAAAGTTATACTAGACTCAAAGTTTTCGAATGCTATCTCTTATGATATATTAAACTTACAATTCATCAAAATGATACCTCGTCTCATCCTCGTTTCTCCGAGATATTATCTTCGATCAAATTCAAAATTTTTTGCACGTAATTGACACAATTTGGAGTGAATATTACTTTTTGCTTTCCTTACACTATTTGCCCTTTCAATAAAAAATGCCAAAACACCAGACGAACCCTAAAAAAAACGTTTTTTTTTTTTTTTCTAGGACAAACATTGTGAAAGCTGTCAGAAATTACCAAAGAAATAGGTTTTAAATTAAAGAAAGATATCCATGTTCGATGTCTCCTAGCGTGTTGAAAGAACGGGGGGCGAAACTGTCTTATTTTTATATATAAAATATGAATGTGAGAAAAATGCCAAACAAAAAATTAAATGTCGATTTTTAATAAATACTCATTTTTTCTTTTTTTTCTATTTTAAGTTTTTTCTAGGCTTCCGACTACTGAGTATTCGATAAAATCGTTTTATACTTTCAAAGAGTACGTATTTTATGCTTGTGAGACGCCCATAACTAGACATGTATGAATAATATACTTCTTATTTACTATATTTCTCTTTGATGACTAACAAAAGAATTAAAAATTAAGAGAGAACCATTCTGAAAATGCTGACTGCTCCCACAGACGATTAGGAATAGCCTTGAATATAAATAATCCAATATTACTAAAAATAAGTCTGAGGTAGAGAATTTTCCATTTTGTCATATTGATTATACTTGGAACAGACTTGATCAGCTGTCTGAAACTGAAGTCGAACGATGTCTCGTGCATCCCGGCATGTGACTACTACACACTCGTATGCTAAAAATAGGATAGCTGTAACCAGATTAATATGCAAAGACGGAATATTTAGAAACAGAAAGGTAAAAAGTCGATGTTTATTTTTAAGATAAGGGGAGTCCCGAAAATTGTTCGTTTCAAGGTCAAAACACAAATAACTTTGTATTTTTACCGATCAATAGAGGAGACTCTGAAGTATATTATATATCAATGAAAAACAAATTGAAAAAAATTTAATCTTTAAGTCCGAAAAGGGGGACGAAGGTAACCTTAACATGGGTAAAATTATTTGATCTAAAAACGATATCATTATTTCATTCCTTTCAATAAGCGACCTTGAATTTATTTGTCTTTATAAAATAAATTTATTTTTCGCAACAAATGTACTTTTACTTTATGAGATAATCGTAAATGTCTTTTTCAAGCATTATACACTCTCAAACTTGATTAAATTCTAGTAAACAAGATTCTCTTCCAAAACCTGATAATGCTTTCTACTAATGATTATTTCATCGTTGGATACTGATGATCCTTAACTTTATATGCGTCATAAAAAAATCTGTTTTTTTTCATAAAAAGAAAAATAAATCAAATGTACATAATCACATATATACAATGACAAAAACAATGTCAGAAAAAAACATCACTCTCTTTTTTCTAATCTATATAATACATGACATAACATGTTCATCGTATGTTTTTTTTTTGACTAGTCAATAATATAGAAAAAAAACGTTCCCGAGTTGCAAATAAAATTTACAATATTGTTGAATGTTGTTGCTGTTGTTTATTCCGTCAAGATAACGGTATTGATTTTGTATGACGTTTTTGATGTTTAGCCAAATGATCACTTCTTATAAACGCTTTTTGACATACAGAACAAACATGTTTTTTTTCTCCAGTATGTCGTCTTCGATGCCGACTTAATTCATCGGAACGTGCAAATGTTTTGTCGCAATTCGGCCACGAGCATGAAAATGGCTTTTCACCTATAAAAAGAAAGAAGATGTTACAATTAAATCAACAAGAGCTATTCTTAGTAATATGCGTCGATTTCTTTTTCTCTTTCCTCTGTGGCGTGTTGTAGAGTGCATTGCTCTCTTTGGAGAAAAAATAATAGGTACAGCTATCTTCCTTTTCTTTTGACGTCATTCAAGAGTAATAGTAACCCATTATTATCTGTACTCTCGAAATTGTAAGAATAGCGGTTTAAAAAACTGAAGTATGTCAACCATTTTTCTTTCCATATAAATTATGAAAAGAAAGCAACAAGAGAGCTGTTATTGGAATACTAATATTAGAGTAAAATGAAATTTAAAATTACCAGTATGTAAACGAATATGTGCTTTAAGATGAGATGATTTGAAATATGATTTATTACAACCAGCATGTGAACAGACGTAATTTTTTTTTCGATTAGATGTTAATAATTGTTTATCTGTTGTTAGTTTTGATGTTGACAGATTTGCTGATTGTGATGCTGTTTGAACTATAAATGATGTTTGAGCAATAGGAAGATATGCACCATTGAGATTAAGATAAAGAATGTGATATTCTGGATTATCACTATCTGTTATTGATGGAGAAAATCTTGCAGTTGTAGTTGAGGAAAGTGAAGATGATTGACAATCATCATTTGATGAAGGACAAGGAGATGTACATGGTGTAGATGATATATCCGATAATGATTCATCTGATGTAGAAGATAATGAACCAGATCGAGGCATAGGTTCTAAATTATTTGATAATGTTAAATTATCAAATGTTGAAAGAGGGATATTAGTTGATTCACCAATATACTGAAATTATTGCAAAAAAGAAATTATTAAAAAAAGAAAATTAATTTTTTTTTTATTTACTGGTCGAAATTTTGGATGGAGTTTTCTTGGTTTTTGTGCATTTGAGCTGAATGATAATAATAATTCTGCATCTTGAACACTTACTGTAGAAATCTATGTATATTTTTTTAATGTATAAATTAAAGTGTAAAGTATAATAAATATAAAACTTACTGCGTTTATATTTTGCGTAGTTCTATCGATATGATTCATTCTAATCAAATTACTTTGTTGTGTATGTATGGTAGACTTTGTTTCAGGTAATGAAACAATTTCAGTTTGTTTTATATTTGTTTTGAAACTAAGCGATGAAATTGATGATGAAAGTTGGATCATGAATTAAGCGTCATATATTATATTTATATATTTATATGCTGCTAACTATAATTGTGCGTATGAACTGTGCATATAAGAAGCAATACGGGAGAAAGAAACTCAAGCCTATCATGCATTCACTGCATGGCCATACACACTGTCAGCCAATAATCACGCAGTGTGGCGTATGAAGAAAGAAAAAAGCATGCATTGGACCATGCCCCATCCTCCTACAGAACAGAACAAAACACACCCCTCCGAAAGAGGTGTGCGTAAAAGAACGACGGAGATATCATGCGCTCAGTGAATGATCAATATAGATTTTTATTGAAGGGAAATATAAAAAGAATACAGAGGGAAAAAAGATGATGAAATAACAAATAACGACGTAAAAAAAGTTGTTATTGTATAATATTTATATAAGAGAACGAAAAAGGAAAAAAAATCATCGAACGACATTGACTAAATTACGACATAGACAAGTATAGATAAGGGGACTTTCAAATTTGGAAAAATAAATATTTCTTAATGTTATCATATGCAAAAGCATGTAAGAATAATAAATCTAAGCAGTATACCACAAAAAACTTCCGAACCAGGAAAGTTGTTTTAATACAATGTCCTCATTGAATATATATCTGTATGACAAAATATTCAATTGTTACAAAGAATATTTAATAAAAAAAAATAGAGGAATGTATCTATGATAATTAGCAGATAAATGAACTTTAGATACGATGCATATCACCAATTTATTATTATTATTTGTAGAAGACGTTTGGTACATGTCATTATGACATATTGTGTTTTTTCTTCCAAAATATCAGCAAGATGACAACTGATGCAATTGTTTTTTATAGATGCGGTATCATATTTGCATTACACAATGACGACAAAAGAAAATATTTTATTAAAAAGTCAAATCAACAGATACGCCATAGAGTTGTTATATAAAGCATACAATTCAATCATATTCTAGACTAATTTTTTATTTCACTTTAAACAAATATTTAATAAAATATTTTAAATAGCTGATAACCTATTTCATATATCATCATATTTATATATATTTTATCATAAAACAACAAAAAATAAAACACAACAAACTACGCATTTTTCTAATATCAAATAAAATTCTTTTCATTTTATTACGCATATAATAATCATGAGACTTTTTTTTCATAATAACAAAACAAACTAATTTAGACTTACATCGACAAACTGTTTCCTCAGTTCAGATGTCCTTGAATGTAACTACTCGTTTTAGATTTTTTTCACAAGTACACTCAACAAAATGCCGCAAATGATTCATCTACATATATATATGTTGATTCATCAGTCATGTTGACCCAATTTGTTTCTTATTTTATTTGTGAAAAAAGAAATTTTCATAATTAAAAGAACAATAAAAAACCACAGAATTATTTTTCTTTCTTTAAAAATAATTCTATATATTCACATAATTTGAATTTTGATCGTTCTAATAATTTTTACAGAAAAAAACTAAAACACATGTCAGACATTTTTTTTTTATTTTTTTTGACTGCGCAATATATTTATTTACTGGTTTGCTTCGATTAAATTTATGTAAATAAAAAAAGATTCGATACCATACACTGATGACATCTCAATAATGAATCTTCACATATTTTTATCTCCAATCCAGGAAATTTTATTGCTAGATATACTTTATTGCTAAGAATATTTTTAATAAATATAAAAAAATGAGTGAAAATAAAATATTATTAATAAAAACATGTTTAGAAGATCTTAGTACAGAATTATTAGTGTCAATATTTGATTATTTAACATCAATTGAAATTTTAGTTACATTTTTTAATTTAAATAAACGTTTTCGTTTCACTACTTATTATTATTTACAATCAGGTTGTCGTTTAACACAATTTTATTTAAATAATACAAATTATTTAACATATAAACGTTTTTGTAAAGATATTTTACCAAATTTAAAATCAACAATAACATCATTTCAACTCGGTAGTAATTATTATTATGGACAAATTGATTATTTTAATCAATATCCCTTAATACGTCTAGATTCACTTGCAATTCATTTTAGTAATCCAAAGACACTTATTGATATTCTGCNNNCTAGATTCACTTACAATTCATTTTATTAATCCAAATACAGTTATTGATATTCTTCAAAAATTTCTTAATTATAATCGTTTGCAATGGTTTGATAAAATAAGTTTAATTATCGATGAAGAAACCATAGGATGGAATGAACAAATGCCTTTTTGTGTGCAAAATATACCTGTTAGAGAACTAAAGATTACAGGCAAGAAATAAATTTAAAATAGAATTTGATGTGAAATTTAAATTAGGACTTATTCGAGAAGAAATATCGAAATTAAATACATATGTTTGAAATAATCTAAACTTAATATTATTCGAAAAAAAAAAATCTATCAGATAGTGTTAAATCTTGCTTATGTATTTTCTCGTGTATTTCTAGTTTTGAAAAAAAGTTAAGTTTTTTTTTGTTTTATAAAAGTTCACTTATGACGAGTTATCAGAAAATTATCAAAATAATGCAAAAGCTTTTTTTTTAAAGTTTCGTATTCCTCTGCCAGAAGACATCTTTCTCATAAAGAGAAAAATAACATGAATATTTGTTTTTTATAGGTAAAGTTCCATATGTCTTTGCTCAACATTTAATGACAGGTTGTTATTCAATTACTCATCTAACTATTCATCTAAGATTTGATCATGGTAAGTGTCAATTGTCATTCTCCATAAATGAATCTTCATCTTTTTTTTTTTTTAGATCTACTTCCTCTTCTTTTTTATTTACCAAATCTAATCGAATGTAATGCATATGTTGATCAACGTGGTCGTGATATATCCAATGATTTAACACTTCTTGCATCACTTTCTGCTTTAAAACATTTTAAATATGAAGGACTTATGCCACCAATTTACTTACGACGTTTAATTATTGAAATTAATGAACATATTGAACATTTATTTATTTATACACAAGATTATCAGCCATCATTTCATTCATCCGAAGCATTTTCTTCTGATTTTTTTGATCATTTACATGATTTAAAAACGTTTCATTTTTATATTCGTCTATTAACTTCGGATGGTTTTAATAATATAGCTTCATATTTTACCGATACAAAATATTTAATAAATAGAAATTTGTGTAATAATATAGCATGTGTTCTATCAAAAGACATTGGACAAATATTCTCTTTACCGTTTGCATTTAATCATTTTGAAATATTTGAAAAAAAATTTTTTACTCAAATTCAATATTCAAAATATGAAAAAGAAAATTTCAAGGAAAATTATTGGAGTAATATCAAACATCTTACTATACATATAAATATTTATGATAAATTATTGCTACAATTAATAAAAGAAAAATTTACTAAATTACGTTTAATTGATTATCAAGTTCCTCATTTTAGTCTTATACCACAAGATAATGAATTACATCAATATGATATTCAACTAGGTGAGCTCATTAAAAAAACATCTTATTTAGAATATCTGTTCAGGGATGAGGAAATATTTGATCATAATTTCTTAATCTTGATATTCGTTATTCACACGTATGATTCAGTTTAAAAAATGATATTTGATCGATATTTAGTATTTTCAAAATATTTTTACTAGATGATTAATTTTTCTTTACAAAAAATGTCCATTGTTTATGGAAGTTAGATTAAGGGGTCTTTCTCTTTCCGGGCATTTTTCGAAAGAGACTCAACGAAAAATGCTGAAACTTTCAAAGCAGATAGATCTCGATAAGTTGAGCAAAAGTTATTATAAATTCAAAATTCCCAAATGCTTCCTTCAGGTAGATATAGAAGTCGCAAAGACAAAAAGTGGCCAACAGTTTCCCCTCCAATAAACGTTTATATTTCATTTTTTGCTCTGCAACTATTTTTTATGACAATTAACATCAAATCGGGGCGTGTGGTATTTTTTCTTTCGACAACATTGTTTCTACAGCTCAACAGAAGTACAATACTGGAAATTGCTGTCAAAAAACGTATTTTCTTTCAATGGTACTAATTTTTTAAAGGCTATCGAACTTCGTAGAAACAACATTTTAATGTGAAAAAAGCATGTACAATAATTTGACTGAAGTACTAATTAAAAAAATTTCATGATCTCAGAACTTTTGGAATGAGAAATAATTATTATCATTAGTAGAATAATGCATACAAGGAATAATCGTAGTGCGAATTTTTCTGCTGTGGATTTCGAGAATTGGATTTAATAAAAATGGTAACTAATTACAAGAAATTTTCATTTATATGGCATTTGACAGTCGACACTTCGAAGCTATATTAGCGATGAAAAAAACAAAAATTGAAAAAATTATGATTTTAACATGCAGAAATGGGAGGGAAATCTGAGTAAGTGCAAATTACATCATCTATGCTTGCGAGTAAAGATGTGACGACTAATATTTTTCTAGACAGTTGTTTCATTTTCTATTTATAATTTTCTTTTTCTTTCAGGCACCGTAAAGAAGCTTATAATTCGTGATAGTGTTAAACATGGATGTCATGTTCCTCAACCACTTTTTCTTCTTACATCAAATCTTATTGAACTGGAAATAGATCACTTTTATTTGATGCAGATTATTTCAATTGTTAGTAAACAAACACAATCACGTATGTTATCAACATTTGCTCAACTTCGTTGTGTAACAGTTCGTCAATTTGATGAACGTATTACTGATTATTTTTTTTCATATTTTTCTCATATAAAAATCTTTGCTCTTATATTTACAACATATAAAATGCAAGTTTATCGTAATAAATTACCATTTCTTGATGATCTTCTTAATTCAATGCCAAATTTAATTAGTCTAAAATTAGAACATATAAAAAAACCACAAGAGTATCATGCATATGTTGAAATGCAAAAAAACGTTGAAGAAAAATTTTCCGAATATTATTCAAAGAATATTTATTGGTGTAAATGGTATGATGATCATACACAAAGGGATCATAAATATGCGACATTTCTTTTTTCAACATAAAAAAAGTCTTTTTTTCCTTTAATTTATTGTTCGTCATTTTATTTCTGCTCAGGAATTTTTATTTTGTTCAAAATGTTATTTAACATGATATGCATGTGTATGATAATGACTTATTTTCTCTCAGTGTGTGTATTTTTTCACATATAAAAGAAATTGAACTAATCTCTTTATTCAGTATATTCATCTGGTGATAAAATTTCAATTCTTTTAGATGAATGAATCAACATCATCAACAACAATGGAACAATCTGATTCAAGATATTTTTCGCAACGAGCGAAACATATTTCTTTATTAAATGAACAATCTACATCTGTATTTGTTAAACAGCCCTCATCAGAAATATATTTTCAATTTTCTAATCGCACTTATATGCCCATAACCGATACTCAATTAACTCCAGTAGGACGTGGTCATGGTAATTCAATATCAAATGATCATCGTCAAATTATTAGTGCAGGTCGAGGTCGTACAACAGTGCCTTTATCATCATTTATATTGCAAAAAGACAATCTTTCGCCGCCATCAACTACTACTACTATTTCATCACCAATATTTGTTATGCACGATGAAGTACAATTTGTTCGACCATATTTTGGACCACCTAGGAATAATGATATACAACCATCATCGACATCTCAAAAACGAGAAATTCTTCTTTCAGCATTGAAAGAAATTGAATCAGGTTTAAAAACATTATAAGTATGTTTTCGTTTATTTCTATGAAAAATAGTCGATTGTCCGATTTTCAAGTTTTTTTTTGTTATGCAAGGTGTCAGATAAGATATAATTAAAAAGTGTTGCCTCTATTTTTTTTTTGCGTTTTGGATATTTTGCGATCGCAAAACATTTTGTTTATGCACGAATTGTTTTGTTTGGAAGTGTTATGAAGTATGTTTGCCAATCGTTTTGGTTTTTTTTTCTATAAACGTGAAACAGACTTTTGAATGAAAAATATCATAATTGAAATGTTAACTTTTCTGTAGATAGATGGTCAACAGTGCAAGAAGATAATTTAAAGAAATGAATTTTAAAAAAGCTTGATTTATAAATCTTTATTAAATGACACAAGATTTCTAAATAACATCATCATAGTTTTTTTTACAGATTTTTATGTTAGATGCTGTAAATATTACAAACACTTGGATATTTATTTATTGTCCTGATATATATCTAGCTCATAGAAAAACCTTAAGAATGTAATAAATATAAATGCTTCATTATATTTATGGACTTCTTGTAGATAATAACACAAATTTCGTTCGAATTACTTATTGAGTTTTATGAATTCGTCGTTGATTCTCATTGCTTGACAGTTGACTCTTTCAACTGTCACCTTGATATTTCACTATAAAATTAGCATTTACTTTTCATATACACACCAATACGAAGAATTGTTTGCCGTTCAATTAGACAAAATATTAAACTTTCGAAAGCTAAAATATTTTTCAGATGTAATAATCACTGAAATTTCTTCAAAATTATGACAAAAAAAATGATAAATGAAACTGTTTCAAAGATGTAAGTCAGTCAATTACACAATAGGTAGAATCACTCCTGTTTTCCAATAAAACTTCATGAAAATCTCCTTAGATATTAAAGAAAGCATATGGAACAAAAAGCTGCTTCTATTCTGAAAACATATTATGATTCAAAAACATCTTTANAACTGTTTCAAAGATGTAAGTCAGTCAATTACACAATAGGTAGAATCACTCCTGTTTTCCAATAAAACTTCATGAAAATCTCCTTAGATATTAAAGAAAGCATATGGAACAAAAAGCTGATTCTATTCTGAAAACATATTATTAGTCAAAAACATCTTTAAGTATATGTATCTCAAAGATAGCGAACAGAGCAAATAGACAATTATCAGTATTGATTAGTTCATTACATGTGTCTAGGCAAGAAAAGGTAAAACATGTATCATTCATATAACAGTGACGATACACTATATATTAATCTTCGTATTGGTATCACTTACAAGATAAAATTTTATTGAAATTTGTGTTTAACAATTTTCTTAAGCGCTTTGGGACGAAATTTTTTCAATTGAATAGTAGTTTGTCAATTAATTGATTGTATTCGGTTCAAAATGATTCCATAAAAAACTTATGATAGTATATCAGAAGAAGAGAGAGAAAGGTCATGATGTCGGTGTATATTAACAGAGAGAAATGAGAACAGCTGAGAAGGATTTATACGATAGGAAGAAAGAGAGAAAGAAATAACATGCATCAGATGGTATATGGAACGACCTAGTACCTTACATGTCATAACAGTATAAAAGCCAGCAAACATTTTGTTGATTGAAAAATAGATGATACAACGTACGTACCACAGTTTCCAAAGGATTGAATATTCATTAGCAATTATCTTTCATAGAAGAATGAAGCTTTTGATCTTGTATTGTTTGCTCTCAAAAGATATCAATTGTCAATTATACGCATAAGATAAAGCTCATGATATGATATTCTTAAGCATTGTAGCTTTATGACTCAATAGTGATAGAGAAGAAAGATGCACCATTGGATACTGACAAAACGAAGAAAATCATTGCTGTTGCTTCTCTCTGATAGAGGATGAATTTCACGCGATTTAATGAACTAAAGTTATGGTTCAGTAATAAAACTACCATTTGCATTAGTGTCAATGATAATACTGACTTTTGACGCAAGACACATTAGGATTTCGAACGTGACAATTGTCATTTTTTACTATAAGTTACTGTTTGAAGATTACTCTTTTACAGTATACGTGAACACAGAAAAAAAAATACCATACTTTTTACGCTCAATGTGCTTGAGTTTTATATATTGATGAAAAGAATTGGATCAAATATTGAGTGGAATACGTTGATAGGCAACAATTTACTATTTCTGTGGTGACTGCTAATGATTGATCTAATTGAAGTGTAATTTGAATCATGGCACTTGAAATAACAGCTAAAGAGGAAGATGAAGTCGTACATATTTAATTCGCCGAAGATGAAGATGAAAATTTAAAAATGATGAGCTTGACTTATCAGTGATAAACAGGTTACAAGCAGTGATGGTTGAAATCATGTAAAGGTCTTCCATTGAAGATGTACAACAATTTGATATTACTTTTGAAGGCTTTACAATTATGGAAGTGTGGAGTGTGTTGTCATGACATGTTTCTTCATTCTTTTTTATCTTTCTTACTTCTATTCTATTTTATGAGAACATTGTTCACTAAAGAGGCATGCGACATATGCATATCAATACTAGACTTTCATGTATGAAAATTATGCTCACAACAGGAATTCAAAACATAGAAGAACCTTATGAAATGAAATTTAGCATGAGAAATCTCAATGAGGAAATTTTTTCTGAGCATTTGGCATTTCTTTCATATGCCTCTCGCATTTTGGGTGCATTGTTGCTATGAATTAATTGTTCGAGTTGATTTGGTCCCTAATCATCGTCCACTGTTAAGTTTGCTTTCGCTAGTCACACTATTCTTCGCATGTTCACTGGTATGAACGTAGCTTCTCAAAAGAGATACTTTTTAATTAAATATACAGCTATTTAAAAAAGCTACAGCTATTTCAAAAAATAATAGATATTCTCAAAAGAGATACATTTTAATTAAACATACAGCTATTTAAAAGGGGTACAACTATTTAAAAAAATCATAGCTATTTAAAGTGTTTCGACTATTTAAATCACCAAAGCTACCTAAAGTTTCCTATAGCTATTTATAATTTCACACGTTTATTGAAATTACTCTAACTAGTTTTTTACTATGAATTTTTAAAAACAGTCGCCTGTGTAAAATACATTCATCCTGATACAGACCACGATTATGGTACATACAACAGTTTGCTTCTTTGTAAAACTCTTTTTTGGCTCTAGTTTCCTAATCGAAATATTCCATTTTTTTAGCAAACCTGCTCAATTATATAATTAAAAGATATACACACTATATAATTTACATGTATTTCCAAATCACAGTAAAATTATATAGTTTTTTCATTTTCATCAAACTCTGCTAATGATCTGATAAAAGAACATACAAGTAACTACATAATTTAAAGAGATTTAAAAACGCTAGTAAAATCGTATAATGTTTTTTCATTAAACGCTGTTCAATGACATGATAAAAAATATAAGCTAATAGATGATTTAAATACATAAAAAAAAGATACAAAAGTCATATAATTTTTCTTTCCATCAAACTCTGGTCAATCATCTAATAAATAAAAAATATAAGTAACTATATAATTCAGATATATTTAAAAAAAGATAGTGAAATCACATATTTTTTCATTTTTTTTTCATCACATCCTGCTCAATGATATGATAAAGAAATACAAATCACTATATAGTTAAAAATTATTTAAAAATGATAGCAAACTATATCGTTAAAATATATTTCAAAATGCTAGTAAAATCGTATAATGTTATTTTATTAAACGCTGCTCAATGACATGATAAAAAAATATAAGCTAATACATGATTTAAATACATTTAAAATAGGTAGTAAAGTCATATAATTTTTCTTTTCATCAAACTCTGCTCAATCATCTAATAAACTAAAAATACAAGTAACTATATAATTCAAATATATTTAAAAAACGACGCTCAAAGCATATATTTTTTCATCTTTTTTCGCCAAACCCTGCTCCTTGGCTTTATAAAGAAATACAAGCTACTGGATGATTTAGGAACATTACAAAATGATAGTAAAATCATAGAATTTTTTTTCACCAAACTCTTACGTGTATACAAACATACAGCGGCTATACAAAGATTAAATAGCAACACAATCAATAAATAGCACTACTAAAAGATTAAATAACTGAAGAAAATTTTAAATAGTCATAGAAACATTAAGTAGCTGCATATTTATATAAAACAGCAGCTCGATAATTAAATAGCTATAGAAGAATTAAATAGCTATATCAAAAGAATAAATAGCTGAAGAAAAGTTTAAATAGTCATGCAAAAATTAAATAGCTATAGATGAAGATAAGAGATTGATTCTAAGATTAAATAGTTATACAAGAATTAAATAGCTATGTCAAAAGAATAAATAGCTGTAAAAAACTTTAAATAGTCATGGAAAAATCAAGTAGCTACAGACGTAGGTAAGAGATTGATTCTAAGATTAAATAGCTATACAAGAATTTAATAGCTATATCAAAAGAATAAATAGCTGTAAAAAACTTTAAATAGTCATGGAAAAATTAAATAGCTACAGATGAAGGTAACAGACTGATTCTAAGATTCAATAGCTATATAAGAATTAAATAGCTATGTCAAAAGAATAAATAGCTGAATAAAAGTTTAAATAGTCATGGAAAAATCAAGTAGCTATTGACTAAGGTAAAACACTTGTTCAATATTTAAATAGCTGTAGAATGATTAAGTAGCTATATGAAAGGATGAAATTTCTGCACAGAAAATATAATAGAAAGATTTAAGAGAAAAAGTATCTCTTTTGAGAATGAGCCTGTATGAATGCAGGATATGATGTGTGTCGAGACGAAAATCTCTTATTTATGTTTCTTCTCTTGAAAGTTAGTTACAATGTCAGACAAAGCAAACTGGCTTGAAGACATTCGTCCGGCTATCCTTCCATGTCGAGTAAAGATTTCCTTTGAATCATCGATCATAAAGCAATTCTAACAAAAAGCAAGTGAAACTTCTTTGTTGGTGGTCGTCAAGAGAACACTATTTAGCGAGATAAGGCCATTAACAGCTTTTTGTGATTGTCGAAATGCATGTCAACGTTGTAATGTGAAAGAAAAAAAGTAAACAGAGTAATTCTTTCTGGAATGTAGCACACCTCATCACTCATTTCATTACTGAAGTACATCGTACAAAAATCAGCGCAATATAGTATGCCATATAAAAGGGTTTATTAATCTGGTAAATCCTACATCGAATTTTCATCAACTCTTCAAGTATGTATGAAAAAAAATTGTAAAAACCTTCAAGGATTTATTAGTAGTACTTAGTAACGAAACCTTATCATTCTAAAATCTAATTAATAATTTGTAAATGAAAAGCAGTAGTAAAGGATTTCTAAAGTTTCAGAAACCTTTTTGAAATAGTCAAAAACTTATGAAATCTGAGAGCAATCAAAGTCTGTTCTAAATTGCTGTAGGCTTTCCAGGTTTCCTATATTCAATAAATTAATCGGAGCTTATTTTTCATAGCTTTTTTGAATAAAACTACATGAGTAGCACTTGTTGAAAAGCATTTGATTTTCAAGTTCGGAATGTTCGTTCGAAATATTGAGAAATCAACCTTGTTCAAACAAATGTCGGCCCTTTATTTCAAAATGTCAAATAGATGGGTGAAAGTGAGCATGATTGGGCTTGTAACTTGCGATTGTATGAAGCTCAGAGACTAACACCATCTATTGCACTCTCATCATCACGTTCTTTCTCATATCCACTCCCATTCCCACCCTCCTACAGACACATATACAATCCCAGTTCACTCTTAGAGCCACTTGTTGGCCATCCTTAGGTGAAAGAAAATGTGGAGACTATGAGTCGAAAAGTAATGCATCGATCTACGTTCTCAGTTAATGAATCAGTCATTGATAAGTAGGACTGTATCGTTCACACGTACGGGTGATTCATTATTGGAAAAAACTTTCTTTCTTTCTGTTTTATTGGAGTATACCAACGTTCTTATCAGAGAACATATAAAGTGTTTTTTTACTCCTTTCTTATGCTAATCGCTGATTTTTTTTTCATTTTCGATGCCTTACTTACACTTGGCATTTTCCAATCTTATTTATTAAGTTGTCATCAAACAAAAGTTATATACTTTGAAATAGCAACGATTGTACGAAACAATTTGTTATGAGTTACATTCATTTTCAAGTAAGAGAAACTACAGAACGAAGGAAAACTTTAGTAACGTACGCACGAACGCAAATAGTGAGTAAAAAACACATCGATGCGTAATGCAAAGCACATCATTAAATCTTAAATTACATTTCGATAAGAAAAAATGTCTGCACGTATGAAGTAATCCGATATCTCACTTTCAGCTTAGAGTTAAATCGTATTAGTACATAACGTTTTATTATTTGATATTTATTTCATTTTTTTAATCTTGAAGAAAAAATTATGGTGCTAAACGATGATCTCGTCAATCATGGCATGACTACCCATCATGGTAAAAATTTTGACTTCTGTATAGTCGATTTTCCTCTTGTCCACTCAAATGCACCATTGACTGTTAGATCTAAGTGCAGGTGATATAATTCTTTCGACAAAAGAAACAAGATAAACATTTAATAATTGACTCTTTGATGGGTTTAGAGACTTTCGTGATAAGCTAATTCAAACGTTTTCCGACGATACACCAAATTGTGAGAATACACGACATCAATGTAAGCGAGTTTTCTTTCGAGATCAATAGCTTCTTTGAATATGATTTACGACTAGGCTACAAATGGACTTTTGAATTCATCTGGAGTGCGATCATCGATGATGTTATTGCTTTCAACGAAAGTTACAAAGCCGTAGGAGTATGTTTTTGTTTATCATAACTATCAATCGCACACATGTTCTTGTAGGAAGGACATACTTTCATGTTCGTGTGCTTCGACAACAACATTTTGCCATATCAACAAGATCTCTTAACCAATCGTTATACTAATAGCGTCTTTTTTGAGTTTCATAATAGTAATTCGAATAGTAATTGTGACACAATCTTCAACTATCTTCGTGAAAATCAGCATAATGAGGTCGTGCCACAGAAACGGGTAAGTATTCAACAGAGTGGTGTCTCGATATTGATAATTGTTTTTTTTGCATAGAGAACACAGGATTATTCTTATCCACTGCGTCTTCATGCTAATAGCATTAGCAGTGGACTTGTTTTCAACTATTTCTATTCCTATCTGAATCGGCAAGTTGGCTCAAGTAAGATCGAATAGAATATTTCGAAGAATATATCAATTTCTATTATTTCATGTCAAAGATAGTATATTCACGGTGTTAAAAGCTCGTGTCATAAAATCGGCATTGGTTTTTTAATGGAATGACCGAGCTCAAAACTTAGAAAGGAGAAAGAAAAATTGACTTATATTGGAACGTACTCAAGTTTTAACCAATCAGAGTTTTTAGAAAAATACACCAAAAATAGTCATCCAAAATAAATGTGGTTCTAAAAAAAACTGACTAACATTGTTTGACGTGATCTTCTCGAATTGATAAACGAAAATTGAGGATATTGTAGTCTTTTTGGAAAAAAATGTTTCTAACATGAGAAAAAACAAAAATCACGATAAGAGTATCAAAATGGATACGTAGAAATTCATCACATATCGAAACCTAGACTTAGAAAACGCTACGAAAGTATGATGAACGCCTTAGTTTAACAAGAAAGCTCTTATCTATATATCTATAATGATTAAATTAGATGTTAATATCTTTTAAGCTATATTCAGTAGAATCTTTCTCTTTCACTAGTATTTAGAACATTCGTAAAAGCGAGCATTCGTTCATAGAGACAATTGGACTTTATTCTTTCGATTACCAACCGTATACAAGAATAGTTCTGGCCATCATAATATCAAGATCTTCTAAATTCAAAAATGTGTATTTCTAAAATAGAGGATCTCAACGATGTTTCGTTATAGTCAAGTTATTGAATGAGATTTGATCGATGTTAATTATTGTATATGAAAGAAGTGTCCGACTCGATAGTATATAAATTCAAAGAAATGTTTCGGATGAAGTGATCGAAACTGACCAAGTTTTATGCAAAAATATTATCGGAGCCGATGGTTTTTAACACGTTATACAGGCTATCTTAGATATGAAATTTCTGACATTGATGTATCATAAATATTATCGTTATTTTCTTGAATTTTTCATTCTTCTTTTAGCAAATAACATCTTTCTCACATTCATTTTCAATAGAATTATAAATCGAGAAACGTTTCCCTTAAATATACGTGTAGTGTTCGAAGCGTGGATCGAAAGCATCTACCTAGAAAGATGTCCTTCAACGGCGCCGGAAGAATCACTTTTGCCTCTGCAGTCTAATACACTTGTATTTGGACTTGATCCAACAAAATATAGTACTTTTGGTGGCAATCAAACATCGGTAACTTATTTTGTGGCTGGTGTAGGTGATTTTGGACAGAACGTTGAGAAGCTTAACATCTGGCAGGAGAATTTTGATCTCGATGGTCTAATTTCCATCCAACTTCAAGACGATGTGCGACAATGGAATGAAAAATATCAACCTTGTTCAATTGACTATAGGTAAACACCATTTATCTGTTTATTATATTAAATTTAAAACAAATTCTAGCATGAACGAACGACCACTGGCTACATTCCAGGGGGAAACTTCTTCGACCGATCGTTATCCACAACAATGTCACTTATTTACTATTGAAAATGCACCAGCTACCGTTGACTGTAATGGAGGCAAGTTTTGAAAGGCTAGTAACTGTCAAACTCTATTTATTGAATTTGAAGGAGTAAATACGATGAAGAAGACCACCAAGGATTGCTACGACACATACGTAGAACATTTTAAGAGCGTTAATCTTGAGGAGGACAAGAGAAATGTTGAAATTCGGCTAATACCTGTCTACTATTTACTTGCACCTACTTCGTGTAACTTTGGTCCGCCCGACACTGGTGCTTCGATTCTATATAATGAGATGAATCTTCGAGGAACATTAATAGATCCGGATAATCCAAAGAGCATACATTTGGCCACCATAAATGGGTGCGTATTTGTCTATGTCATGTTTGTTCTTTTATTCATCATTTATTTTGATTACTAGAGAAGTGCTTCGATCTAGACCGATGCTTCATTACAATCGTTATCTTCGTCGTACATTTTACTATATCGATGAAACTGACGAAAATAATAAGATTGTTCGAGTAAGACAAAAGTCAACTATATCTTATATCAATAATTGCTTCTCATCTACCTAGTATCTATTTTGCGGGGAATATCCTTATATTTTATCTATCCTTGGCCAACTGGAACAAAGTGGTCAGATAAGTAAGGCACAAAAGCGAGATGAATATTTACGCTTTTGCAATATGCTCAATCGAATTCTTGTCATTGAAAATTTAATGGAATCAATCAAATTGATCCAAATCAATGATGAAGAAGAAACTACTCAGCTTGATCTCGATGATAGACACGACCAAGCTGATTGTACGCGCATTAAATTTTCTCTCTAATTTGAAAAACAAAATGCATGTTTTTTTTTATCAATTTAGATGCAGATGCAAAATCAGTATCGAGTCTGATCAAAGAAGATATCGACCAATGGTATGGCAAATCCGATATGTACGCGGACGAACTTTCTGTGAGTTAAGTAATTCAAGCAGATGAATGTCTAGAATTTTTTTAATATTTAGATTACGTCAATGATTCTTCAATCTCAAAAAAATGATCGTGTAATATTATTCTTTTCCAACAAAACGAATAATGATCAATTGATTATAGCACTGATCAAGTAAAACTAGCAACTATTAAATTTTGATTTTACTTATTTTAATTTAGAGATCTCAAAGAAAAATTAGAAAGTCATGGTTATGTTGTTGATGATGCCGATGATGACCTCAACTCAGTCGAAGAATTAGAGCAGATCATCTTTATCTGTACTGATCAAATAAATGATCATGATAATCGTCAAATCATGCAAGCCGTAGGACGCAAGATCAATAAAGTAAATCATAGATTTTTTAATACTTAGCCTTTTATAAATATTTTACTAGCGTGGTGTACTACGTGATGTCTTTATTTTCATCAACGATGCTATTCAACATGTCTCCTGTCATCTTATAAAATCTGTTCCGTATCTTACATTCGATTTGCGCGTACGTGCTGCTAAATTAACTGATGATGAAGTTCAAGAAGTAATTGATTATCTTAACAGTAAGATTCAAATTTTTCATTAGTCCATGTATCATAAACGATATTTGACAGATATGAATGTTCTGTCGAAGACTTACACGGATATGTTCGATAATACTTCTCATTCTGCTCAACAGACAGCTATCGTATGTTTTCTATTCGAATATAATTATAAATAATTGATTCTGTTCTGTTTCAAGCAATGTACAAGTGTTGGTGCAGGTTGTGCTGCGGCTTTTTATTTTAATTATGCAAAACTTCTGATATCTTTGCCTGGTAAGACGAGAGAATGAAAATAGTTTGAATCATTTCTTTATCATTTGAATTTTAAGCTCATCAATCGCGTGTGAAATTAATTTATGAACAGCTGCTCATAGAGAATCTTCTCGATTCTGAACAAAATAAAGCAATTTTCATCAGTAAATGGGTGTTTGTCATTCCATGGACCATCGAAAATTCTTCTCAACTTCTCTCTTACGGTCTATCGTTGAATGAAAGCGAGCAAAAATCAATCGGATTCAAATTAGCTTGCTGGAAGTCAATGTGAGTTGATTTTTTCCAACCGTCTTAAAAAAAGAAACATTCATTTTGCAGCAATACAAAATTCATCAGTCCAAATCTATCGATGACCGTTGGCGGAGTGTTTCAGAGATCATACAGTCCTCTAGTTATCTTCAAACTTACGAATCTAACTCACGAAAAGGTGATTGATAGAGAGACAGAAAGAGAAAGAGCTTAATTAAACGTTTATTACAATCTTTTTGTTCATTCAGACTATCTACTTTCCAATGGAGATACCAGCGGCTTTGCATGGTTTACAAAATCAATATCAGAATATTCTTTCTCATTTCAATTTTGGAACATTCGATCCATTAGAACAAGCTATGACTTTTCGCAAAAAGGTTGAAGAATACAAAGCAAGCGAACAAGATGCCAAATGGCATGAGAATATTATCCTAGTGCCTCTAGATCGACCTTCAACAATTCTTGAAAACAAGTCAATCACATCATTTCAACAAGCTGAAATTCTACTGAAAACATTATGGGAGTACCTGTCTTCATCTTCATCAAACGAACACTAATTTCAAAAAGGCGATTTTTCTTTTATTATTCTGAGAGATACTAAGTGTAATAATATGAGTATATGATCGTTACAAGGAAAAGTTTTTGAAATATACAAGCAGAGAATGACATAATTTATCATGAAGCGCATGAAACAAAAAAAAACAACTTACAGTTCAATTTTCGATTTGTACTTTTGTTAATTACTTGAAGATTATTGTTGCAACAAAAGGTAGAAGGGTGTGGATGTCGACGTGAGAGTGACTGATCTGAAGCTACTACAACAATATGACATATGCTGCAATCGTGGGAATCATTCTATTGGTGGTCTTATGGAAGCAGATGAGAAAAGAGGATAGAGACAGTGTTTAACACGAGATCTTATTCTAACAATTGAACAAGTTCTATTTCCTTCAAGGAATAACTTTTAAAGATGTTTAGCAGCGAAAAGTAGTCTAGCATATGATTGAATACATCAGTCTCTGTCAGTCGACAATCTAACTGATAAAAAATCAAAGAGATTTGATCCAAACCATTGAACATTATATAGCAACGTGGACGATTTTCTATTTGTTTTCAACAGTTTGTTTTCATTTTATACGACTGTTAGTCGATTCAGAATCTACTAAGACATCAATTACGCAGCTTAGCCTTTCTTATTCAAAGATCGCAAGAAAAAACATAAAACAAGAATATTGTTGTTTATATCCATACCATGGTAGTACTCATTACATTACTGTTCTTATGTCTACACATGTTTATCGAAGTATGAATGATACATTATTCGATTCAACATAAAATGCCATATCATTCATGTCTATTATTCTTTGTAAGGAAAAGATGTAAAACAAAAGAAAAAGGACAATCATTTTGTCATGGAATTATTTTATTGAACTAAACATATGGTGTCATGTAACGTTTTTAAGGAATGGTTATAATTGTAGTATAACATCAATTAGTTTCAAAGGATGAAATCTGATATATACATAGGCTGTCTATTTCATTGATTATTATTTTGCTCTCGATATATTTACTGCTTCATCTCTTTATACGTTTTTGCTTGGTGCATCGTTAATTTCTCCATCACTTTGGAATCTCTGTTAGCTTTTCAATAAAATCCTTTTTAGCATATATTGAATGATCGAATAAAATTTAGCGGCGAAGATATTCAATTTCTTCTAAGATCTTATCACAAATAACATTCACCGTTACAATTCGTTCTACCGTCAAGTGAATGTACAACTGTTTCTGTATCATTTACTTCATTGTAAGTTCAATCAATACTAATATCAAAGGTATGCATGCATGTGTGTGTGTGCTAGTGTGATTTAGAATGTTAATATGTGTGTCGGTGTTGGTACCAGTGTGGATGTACGCGTTGATGTGGTTCTGCTGTTTATTTATTTAGCCAATCATCATTAAACTCACACATGCACATCCACATCGAAGTACTCACATCCACACCCAACATCAGACCCGTAGCATCTCTGAATCAGACCATAACTCTATGACATAGACGTGTTCATCGATGATCTTACTTCCTCATTTGTTCATTGATACCCTACACTCAGTTTTCTGAAATTGAAAGTCATCGATCTGCTATTGAACATCCCCGATGAATATCTATGCATGATTTTACTTGATTACATCAGACCAACAGATATTCGAAACGCTACAGACGCTGTATCGATCAACAACGAAAAGCAAACAACGCATTTCTGATTCGATTCCAATTGCAAGAGAACAAAAAAGACAAAGCAGTTGAATAAACAGCACAATTCAAGATTCTTGTACAATATCACTTGGAAACAGAGGTCAGTAGTAGTGACGACAAAATTTCACGAACGTTCGCACCAACATCTACACACCTATGTCCAGTGTCCCGAGTGTCAGTTCAAAACTGGTTCATGTCATAACAAGAAATTAAAATTATATCTGAGTTTGTTGCTGAGGATGGGCAATATTTTATGCTTGTTGGTTGCGAAATTCATTTTCAGCCAACATCAGTCTGGTTAGTGTCTGTTTTGAACAGGCACAAATGCTATATAGAACTTGTGAGGATATTACTTGATTCTGTTCAATAGCTTCAGCGAATGCTGTGCTCATTCATCATCGACATCACCCTTCTCGAGATCCAACGTAGTGAGTGTCTGTTATCAATAGGAAATCAATGATAGATAAAGATGGCAAGGATATCACTTGGTTTAACTCGAGAGCTTGTGCACGATGTTGTGCTCCCTGATTACCAATTCCATTTTGTTCGAGGTGAAAGGTGGTTAGTGTCTATTTAGAAGAAGCAGTAAACAATAGATAGAGAATGCGAGGATATTACTCGGTTCTGTTCGAGAGCTTTAGCAAAATATTGTGCTCCTTGCTTAAAGATATTATTTTGATTGAGGCTCAGTGTGGTTAGTGTCTTTTTAGAAGAACCACTAAACAATAGATAGAGATAGTGTAAATCTTACTTGATTTTGTTTCAGAGCTAGAGCAAGATATTCTGCTGCTGACAAGAAAATTCCATTTCAATCGAGCTTCAAAAGGGTTAGTATCTATTTTCAACAACTAGTAAATGATAAATAGATCGCTGGGATATCACTTGATTGTTTTCGTGAGCTTTGTCAATATATTGTGCTCCTTGATCACCGATTTGATTCGCATAGATTTTCAGTGTAGTTAGTGTCTGTTTTGAAGAGCCAGTAGTTAACATGTAGAAAGAGTCAAAATATTATCTTGCTTTGCTTGAGAGCTTTTCCAAGTTGTTTGACTGTTTGAGGATACATTCATTTTCAATCGTGGTTCAGTGCGGTTAATGTCTTTATTTGGAAATAAGAAAGTTACTATGATCAAAGGATTTGCTTAGGAATATCGTAAAGCAACCTATATTTGTTAGTGCTTTCGTCAATTGGGAGGTCTTTGATTTCATTCATGGATATCATTAAGTTTTTTTGCGAAAAAAAAACAGTGGAAAATGTCGGAAAGTATATTAATTTTGGTAGAGCATGTAAATTGCCTTCATATTGTTGTGGAATGTATGAGGCGGAGTTCGAAGATCTGAAAAGAATGGTAATGCTTAGTATAGGTTAAAAAGTTCTGGAACAATAAGTGCTGATACTCGTCAATGCAGGGTAAATAAAAAGAAAAACTTATCGATTGTAGTAGCTGTCCAAGATGTGACGCTCGGTATACTGTTTGACTCTTTCGTTGGTTTCTTTAGTGCTATTAGAGTTGCGCATGTTTTTGTAGTTGATGTATAATGGGAAAAAAATAGCCATGTGTATATTGCTCTGTATTAGTAACGCAATAATGTTATCAAGGGATTGTTCCTGGAAAGGATCGATATTAGTAATATTTCTGTTCATTTGATTTCAATGATAGTCTTCGAAATATAGTTTTTCAAGTATGATTTGTGTTGAATTCTTTAATTTATCGTCATCTCAACGAATGGTACTCAATATCGTGTTTTTTCTTGGGCTATTATTAGGGGTGTTATTTCATTAACTACGACTAGTATCAGTAGTCAATCACAGTTATGGACTGGAACTTAAAGCATTAGCAATTTTCAACAAATCATCAAATTTATTTGGTTCGATCTAGTAACTGATGGCTACATGAGGACAATACTACAGTGAGAAGATATATGGTCATATGTTGGACACATAAATAATCTATTAAAAATGATGAGAGTCAAATTTTCCGATATAGTAGGATTTTACCTGATATCGAGGATAGGCATCGACATTATCACCCATACGTATACAAATATCACGCGTTCAGCATAAAAGATTGAAATTATCAATATGATCAAGTATTCGGTAGATGACTTCTACCGGTATTGTAAGAAGAGTTGAAATCTTTTTGGTTGACGTGAATGAAAACTTTTGAAATGTTTAGGATGTCGAAATGTATGTTGAATATATGGCGTGTTTTTGTCTAAATGAGTGTGTAACCGTTTTGTGTGGTTAAAGTTTGATTTGTCGGATGTTACAATATGAATATTTATAAAGTTGGAATTTCTTTTTCGTTCTTCTCAGGTACACTTCAACTGAAATTTGACGAAACAGTTGGTCAAATGAGATTTTTCTACATTTACTTGTGGGTGCAAATGCAGTTTATTATCTGATGACCAATGAAGTCGAAATAATCGAATCATATCATATCTAAAGAAACCAATTGTAAACAGCGCCACATCTAACATTTTATCATTATGGTTCTTTAGACAACTACGTAAACGCTGTATACTCGTCCATTATTTACTTCGTCGCTTTCTCCTATTATGAAAGAATTCAAAATTCATCGTTATGTACTGCGCAATGATATATAATCAAAATTTCTGATGAACCTCATTTAATACTATGGAGTAGTCCGTGGAAGAATGGTTCTGTTCGCTTTCTCATCATCATCATATTTATTTGTTTTCGCTACATGTTATTTAGAATTCATTTTCTGTTACAGTTAAGATTCTAGCCATGTTTTTGAGCTGGTTCTTATTTCAATAAATAGCTTGCATTGACTACTAGACAGTGCTATAAAATGTGATTGTTAAAAACATCGTATTGCCAAGCTTTCTTGTTGCTAATATTGAATTGATTTTTGAGTTAACGAATATAATAAATAGGTTTTCAAATACTATTCATGCGTTTTGTCTTCGTTAAACGGTAGAGATTACTTTACTTTCATGTAATCTCTCACAAATTTACTTCTTTTAGTCTTTTGTTGATCTGTGTACCTTCAGTCCAAGTGGAACCATTTAGTGTATCGTCGAGACGGACGCGACAGTTCTACGCAACTGCTCACACATATATGAACATCTGTCAGAACATTTCGTAGCGTGTGCTATGTTATTCCAATCGTTAACCATTGGCACAAAATTATGAAATCCTAGTCGAACTTTTTTTTCATACTCATGAAGTTCTTGAGTATCTTGAGAAAGAAAGTATATGATGTGAATACATCTCGAAGCAAGACTTGAAGCTTTTTGAGCAAGCCCAGGTGCTTGACAGCTGATTAAGCACTAATCAAG